TACAATGGATTCCCTATTGAAACATTCTGGACGTTTTGAGTTAAATATGATATATTACTAAAATTAATTTCACCTGTAAACTTTTAAAATGTATAGTGGAAAAGTTAATGTAACTAGCACATTAAAATGCATGTGGCTCACACTTGTGTCTTTCATCGGACAGCTCTAGAGTCTGGTAGGGAAGGACAGACATTATGAAATAATCCCACACAAAAATATAAGGGGCAGAGAGACTCAGTGCGCAGATGGGAGCTCTGGAGGGCTCTCCAGAGGAAAGGTCGCTGAGAGGAGACCCAGCCCTTGGGGCATGGACACCAAGAGCCTCAGTGAGGACCATGAGGGAGGAGAACTGGGCTGGATTGGACCATAGAGACCTGTCAGCTTAGAAAGACTGACTAGACCTGCCCATTTTCCTCCTACCTACACTCTTCTCCTCATTTTCACCCTCCTCCGCCTTCTTGTCTTCCTCCTCCTCTTCTCCCTTCTTTTTCTCATCCTTCTTTCTCTCTTCTTCCTCCTTCTCCTTCCTTTTCTTCCCCTCTTCTATACTCTCCTCTCCTCCCCTCCCTCTCAACGTTCCCCTCCTCCTTCTCTCCTCCCTAGTTCTCTTCCCCCTCCTCCTTATAGCTCTCCTCTCCCACCCCATCCCCTCCTCCTCCTCTCCCTCTCTTCCCCCACCTCCTTAATGCTCTCCTCCCCCTCTCCCCCCTCCTCCTCCTTTTGTCCCTTCTCTTCCTCATCTGTGAAACTGCCCCCCCGCAGCCTGGATTCCAGTAATTTTATCTAGTGTTTCCAACAAATTTGATCAGTTCTAATTGTCTCTGAAAATTAGGCCATGACAGTGGGACCTGCAGGGGTGAGGAGTGTGGTGCCACTTACCTACCCTCACCTTGAATAGCTTAGCTTGGTCAAGACAGTGGGCAGCAGTGAGGATGTAGAACTCATTCAGGATGGTGCCTCCACAGAATCCTTCATTGTTCTCCTTGATGAGCAGAGCCTGCAATGAGAATGCCAGGGCCAAACAGGTTGAACTTGGCTTTCTGAGAAGAGAAATTTAGAACCTGTAATTCAAG